TGTTGTTTGGCGGGCCCGGGCTAGGGATTCAAACCCGCCACCTTAGGTGTATGTGGCTGGCGCCTTAGCCGCTTGAGCCACAGGCGCCGAGCCAAGAAAACTTTTCTTACATGAAAGCATTAAGACAGTAGAAGTATACTAATTATGAGGAAGGAAAGTATATGTGTATATTAAAGTCTAAATAGTTGATTTTAGTGTTTTATACATATTATTTTGATAACTGTATAAAATTGTATCATGTTGAAATGCTAGTTTGCTTAGTCATTTTCCTTTTGTTAAGCATTTGGCTATTATTTAAGTTCAGTGCTTTTTGGGGTGTGGTCCCAAGACTAGCTGCATTAGAATCATTTTTGGGTTTGTTAAAAAATGCAAGTTCTTGGGTCAGGCACAGTGGCTCACCCCTGTAATCCTAGCACTCTAGGAGGCTGAGGCTGGTGGATCACTTGAGTTCAGGAGTTCGTGACCAGCTTAAACAAGACTGAAACCCTGTCTCTACTTAAAATAGAAAAAACTAGCTGGGCATTGTGGCGGGAGCCTGGAGTCCCAGCTACTTGAGGAGGATGAGGCAAGAGGATTACTTAGCCCAAAAGTTTGAGGTAGTTGTGAGCTATGATACCTTGGCACTCTATCCAGGGCAACAGAGTGAGACCCTGTCTCAAAAAGAAAAATGCAAGTTCTTGCTGAAATAAGAAATGCTGAGAGTGGGGCCCAGCAGTTTGGGTTTGAAACAAGTCCTCCTAGTGATTTTGATGTGTGGGAAAGTTTGAGAACTACTGATCTAGTTCAGTGTTTCTCAATCTCAGCATTACTGACATCTCAGATGATTTATGTTGTGGGGGAGTACTGTTGAATTATAGGATGTTTAAAGCATCCCTGGCCACTAGATGCCAGTAATTCCCCTCTCATTCATGCCCCCCAAGTTGTAACAACTAAAAAATGTCTCCTTACATTGCCACATGTCCATTGTTAAGGGGCAGAATTGACCTGGTTGAGAAGTATTGATCTAGTCATTTTTGCTATCATAAATAGCGTGGCTAAGAATGTGTTTATTAAATAACTTTAAAGTTTTCCCTTAGACTTGATCTTCCATAAAGTAGAATTTGAGTCACAGGGAACAAACAGATTTATCATTTTATTTTTTACTTTTTAAAGACAGAGTCTCACTCTGTTGCCCAGGCTAGAGTACTGTGGTATCATAGTGCACAGCAACCTCAAACTCTTGTGCTCAAGCTATTCTCTTGCCTCAGCTTCCTGAGTAGCTGGGACTGCAGGTGCCCACCCCCATGCCTGGTTAGTTTCTTCTATTTTTAGTATAAAGGAAGTCTCAGTCTCACTTAGGCTGGTCTGGAACTACTAGGCTCAAGTGATCCACTGACCTTGGCCTCCCATAGTGCTGGGATTACAGGTATGATCTACTGCATCCAGCCGAAATTTATCATTTTAAAGATTGAACGGTATGATTTGTTTCTAGAAGCTCCAGTGTTCAGCTTTGAGCTTAGATTTTGGTGGAGGTGGTATTTGTTCCTCTAAGAAGCTTTTCTTGGTAGCTCATTCCCTCTTTTAACTCTCTCTCCTCAGGGCTTAGACTGTGGTCCTGAGAGCAGCAAGAAGTATGCTGAAGCTGTCTCTCGGGCTAAGCAGATTGTATGGAATGGACCTGTAGGGGTATTTGAATGGGAAGCTTTTGCCCGGGGAACCAAAGCCCTCATGGATGAGGTTGTGAAAGCCA